CCGGATTTTGCTGCTTTTATACAAGGATGGTGCTCAGGCTCTGTACTATAACTGTTCGAATGGTGCACTGAAAGATTAGAGGATAGTTGAGGAGAGAAATATCTGTTGTCATAAAGAGGGGGACTAAACGATAGAAAATGGGCAGTGCGGATAAGTTGGAAATAGGGCAGTCTTTGGGAATGGCCAGTGGGGAATTTTGGTGGTTCTACTTCTCCTGCTGGTTTTGCAAACCGGTTGAATGAAGTTTCCTGGCGAGGGTATTAAGACCATGAGGCCAAGATTCAAATGAGATAGAAAATTTTCAAAATAACAAGTTTGAAGAGAGAATTCTGTTCGGAAATCCTCATTTTACTTGGATGCAAAAGTTTCGAAACACAAGATCTTGACAGGGCCTATTTGATTTCGGGAAGGTGAGGTTTATGAAGCCCCTTCTTCCCAAAGAAGGGAGTTGGTGCTTCTATGGCCCCCATGGAAGCTGCCACTTCCACTTTTAACATTGTTTTCGAAGACGTGGCTTTCAAAAATCATGTTGCCCTTCTTATAATCAAACAAAAGGTGTAATAGTTTTAGGAAGTGGTAGCTCTGGAAGCCGCCGCATTCAGAATTCAAACGCGGCCAAATTTTCAAACAATGAAAAGGGCCCCACATCTTAAATATCATAAAACTCATTGGTAGGATTCCTCTTGCTCAATCTGCACCGTAGGATTCCTCGTCCAAACAAGACCTCAGGTACGGGAAGTGCTTGATTGTTGCATTGATATGGATTGCTCCTTTGTTCATGTATATATATCTAGAGAGGGAGCCTCATTCGCTGTTCGTTCACCATATTCTTTACTCCTTGGCATCAAACTGGAAACCAAACAAAAATCAAGTACAATCGGCAGCTCTAGCCAACTTTCCAATTCAAGTCAAGAAAAAGAGGGAGACGAAATGTTGATGTAATGAGCATAACGAGTCAATCCTTTATTCGAAGTCGAAACCAAGTTACAATTCATGTTTCAGTAAAAGGGAGCAATATTTTTACTAATATGACTCATGCACCCTGATAAGGCTTGTAAGAAGAGGACCAATCACTCAATCATTCATCTTTCTTGTGCTTGGCTTCAGGTGGAGGAGGGATGCGGAAGACGAGACGAAAGACGGAAGCAGCTACAAAGGCTCCAATAAAGGGACACATCCAATAAACGTACATCTGTTCCCATGTGTTATGCCGATTATTCACGTACGCCCAACCAAATGCCTGCCATAAACATCAATCAGCTTTGAGAGCCTTGTCATTAAAGAGAGAGAGAGAGACAGAGGTTCATGTGACTTTATTTGAGAACTTTCTAAACCTTCACTTACTGTGCTTCAAGACTGGATACAAGTTTTCTTGGATATGGCTTCATATTAAAATTTGAGAGTAGGACACCCCTGCTGAACATTGAATTGGATTTCCAACAGAACAAATACATGGAGAATTTTCAATATAAGAGATGAGTTTCACTATGAGATATAAATGTCAAAATGATGTCAGAACACACGTAATTTGGATCACGCTGACAAGCCAAGGAAAAACTTAGATGCTTCTGTATAATCTTTTTGGAGAAAATGTCACTAAGAAAGTACTTCTCACCACAGCCAAAAAAAAAAAAAGTCCTGATATATCGTATCTGAATGGCCAATTTTGGTCTGGCTTTCAACACACATCCGTCAGACATTGACACTCGTATATATGACTTTATAACATAGCACCGTACAATTTGGCATAAGAAGCAAGTTAAAAAAGGTTGGAACATAACAGTGACTAGGTTGCGTCTTTATGGGATAAATAACAATATCCATGTGAGGTCATCAGACATTATGGTTTGCTTGCACATCCAGTTCAGGAAAGGTTGAAAAATGTATGCTAGAACTATATTCATGTAGAAATTCCACACGCTATCTCAATTTATGCTCCCATGATTCTTAAGTCGCTAATCTTTATCCAATTTCAGGAAAATGGGAGGATGAAAAATAATCAACCAAGGTCAGCAAGCTGAAGTCTATCCAATGCCGTCAAATCCAGGACAACCTGCTCAAACCCATGGAACAGTGAGAGAGATGGAAGAAATGGCAAGTGCAAAGAAGTGGAGCGAAATAAACTCCTGCCATCTTACATCAGAACATAGGAAACAGAAGGGACTAGAAAGAGCAATTAGTGCATCAGATCTAGATAAAATAAAAGTTCAATAAACCAGTATGTGCCTCTACTAGGGCTATTTATAAACTGAATGGTTTTCTACTCACATAAAATCTTAAACAGTATAACTAGTCCAGGAAGAAATGAACAATTACAAAGGAAATAATAAAAATCTCAATATCTTCAGTAAAAACTAGAGAAAAGCAAACAATTCAGGTTGAGATCCATCATTCCTCAATATCAGCAAACTAGGAAGTCCAAACCCATTGGAAACATCATTAGACGTCTAACTGTCAACCAATATGGAGTATATTCAATTCCTTTTCCACTAATAAACCAGCAGAGAACTTTGACAAGCTTGTCTTACAACAAAGCACTGGATTTGATGTAAGAAAACAAAAGAAAACTTGGCTATCATGACAAAGTAAATATTTTATTTTTTTATATTTATTGGTATAGAATACCTATACTTCAAACAAGCAAAGTTCAACGGATGCGTTAAGAACCCTGAATAGGCCCAGGTAGGGCCCTATTCGGTTATATCTATAGGCGCCTACCTAGACATCCTTGGGCCACCTAAGCAGCCTGATGATACACCTTGGCCAAGGGCAGAAAGGCCCTAGGCCAAGGGTAGCAAAATGATGATACACCTTGGCCGAGGGAGAAAGGGATTACGGGGGCATTTTAGCCCCCCATAACTTATTTGAGTTGATTTGGAGCATGAAAAACACCCCAAAAAATAAGAAATTGTAACTTTTTTGAAGATTAAAAAAAAGTTTCGAACTCTTTGATTTCTCGCAAACCCAAAAAGAATTCAATCAAATACTTTTTGAGACTTGAGAGGTTGGTGTATTTCATTCCTTGGTTTAGGGTTTTGTGATATTTATGAATGTTGGGTATTTGTTTGTTGTTCTTTTCAATTTGATTATTGTTTTATGTTGATTGATTTTCGTTTATGTGACTTGTAATGGAAAATTGACATAATGGATGAATCTCGGGCAATTTTTCACTAACTCATCATTTTAGTTATTCAATTTCACAGCTCAAAGCCACGTTTGTTTAAGTTTGAACTGCACAAAAATCCAATAGGAAAGAGTGTTCCTAAGTTGGAAAACCTTCCAAATGATCATCTGGGCCTCGAGATGTATAAATATAAAGAAACAAAAAGAATTTCAAGTCTTAAAAATAGTACATATTGAAACAAGTTATTTAGACAGTTTGTTTTCAAGATTTTCAAGTGTTTACTACTCAACCTGCACCCTATTACAAAATTTTAAATTTTATAATTGGGGTTAAGCATGGATTTTCAAGCCATTGTAAGGTTCCTGAGACTAGAACTGCACCTTCAGGAAAAATTTAGGGGCGCGCCTTACTTTTTTGGCTCCGGCCTAGGCGGCAAGGGGCTGAATCTACTTCTTGAACATTGCCTATGCATATTTATGCAAGATCAGTACCACGATCAGTGACCTATTGGGGAATTCTAGTGCCACTGGCCAAGAATAGACTAAAAAAATAGAATCGGGAAAAATAAGGAATGCTCTTCTAAGGCATCTGCAGGTGACTTTCCTAGATAGCCCTCTATAGCAGATAAGAAAACGGCAGGCTGTCTCCTGCCACCCCAAGGAATTGTTAACATACCAAAGCTAAACAAATATCTATTGTGAATCTCTTGTTGCCAAACATATCATGCACTGGAACTTGTTGCCTTAAGTGGCTGAAAGTCAAGGACAAACTATTGGATACGAAATCATCTTCAGCATCATCAAGAAAGACTCCACAAAGGTATACTCTTTGCCTAGGTAGCAAGGGGGAAAGCAGGCTATGAATTATAAAACTGCTTTTTCTATAGGAACCCTTGGAAGCATTGTAACATGCAGCAATTCACAAGACAAAATGCAAAATGGCATAAAATACTACTCAGTAAGAGGTCCTCAAGACATACAAGTAACAAACTCTGAATAAAGTCCTTGGCATGCCCAGGATCCTTCACTTTCCTAGTATAAGATAAATTTGAATTGTGTCGTAGCATGTGCTACAGAGCAACAAATGTTTGCTTGCATATGGTGCAACTAGAGAAAGAATCCCATGAGCTGCATGCAAGAATGGATGCCAATTGACCACATTTGTTCCTGAGTACATTAAAGTTGTGATATAATATCAAGTTGCAGTAAAATTCATTTAATCCCTATGCACAAGGAACCCAAAACCAGCATTTTGCTAGGAATGCAACATCTGCATATAGGAGACCAAAACTCTTCTCATGGTGACAAGATAGAAGAAATCGTAAAGCAAGATGGACGGATACAGATATGGGAATAGCTACAGACACAGGGAGTAGGAATATAATTCACTAGTCCCCAAATCCAGGAACACAATATATAGAAGTATTCCATTTGATTCATTTATTTTTATTCCTTCGCATCTATAATGACTTTTTTGTATTCCTTTATATTCATAATGTCAATACCGGCATGCTGAGCATGTGCATCTGAAACTGTTAAGGAATTTAAATTTGACATTGTTCCTCAGGATATTATAAAGTGCCCACCAAATTCAAATTAAGGGAAGTGACACATGAATACAAGGGTCCAAGCCCATAGCTCAACCGGGAGAAGATTGCAGCAGCAACCATAAGGATATGCATTTAGACCCAGCTTACCACCCCAAAAAAACTTGAATGCAGAACTTTATGGAATTGGAGACATGTCCGGTGGGATTCGGGCATTTGGCATAGTATTTAGCTCGTAAAAGGGCTGCAGCACATCATCCAAGGTTTGAATCCCACCTCTGACCAACCCAAATAATGAACACAAGTCTGGGACTCCAACTAATCAATGTGTAAGACAATTTAGATATTGAACCCAGTTATCACTAAGAAGTTAGTCAATTGCTTACATAAGTAAATAACTATATAATAATACAAATAACTATCTTTGATTTGATAGTTTTTACAATTAAACATTTTTGGAACCAACAAAACATACTTTTCTTGAAAGAGAAGCCAACATTTAGTAATCTATGTAAACTCAAAAAGTCAAAATATAAGCCCATTCCACTAATCCAATTTCTAGCGCATTTAAACGAGATAAATAAGGTGGATAACAAAGGCCAAATTAAACAATTCACGCGCTCCAGCAATATTTTCTTATGGTTATAAGAATAGAATCGTCTCTCATGAGATTGTCCCTAGTCGAATACATAGACATGCATGTTGCGAGTGCTTATCATTATAAGAATGAAATTGTCCCTTGTGATGCAACTTTCTGCAGGGACAACAAAGGCTCTAACACGAAGCCACCAAAGAACATTTGTACATAGCTGTTATTAATAGGTGTAAATAGCATCATTTTGGAAAGTAAAAGAAGGCATATAAATAATTTTCTATCATTAAATTATTTTACGTTATGATTTTGTTTTCCTCTATATTATAGTTTTCTATTTTTAGCTTTTGAAATTCTTATATAATTTATATATAAATATCATTTATGTAAGGGTTTGTCCATAGTTAACAACCCCTCAAAATACAAATGTTAAAGTTAGAATAGGTTATGATAGGTGCTTTTTACTAGAAATTCAATGCAAGTTAATAAAAATAGTTGCTTTTTATGGTTAAATCATTAAGTGAGGGCATATTTGATCACAAAAGTACAATGGAATTTTGGGAGTAATTGTCCTGGAACTTTATTAGTTCAACACCCATGTCCTTTATTTGACAACTTCAACTATGCCCCTATAAAGTAGACAATATTATCCCTTGTGTATTAATGATAATTACAAATATACCCTTGGTTAGTAAGTTACAAATAAATAACAACTTTTAGTTAAAGGAAACCATAATTCACAACTAATTCTGGCCTTAGGCTTTGTAATTTGAAGAGTTGTTAGGGTTAGATTATCTTTTTACTTAAATAGTCATATAATCCTGCCACGCAGTACTGGGCCTTTAGGCTGAAGTACTAAACACCACAGACATGTAGTAGACATTGCAACCTGTGTTAGTGTCCTTGTAAAACTCTATCCAACACACTCCATGAAGATCTATTCAGTGGTAAATGGACACCGACATGCAAGTCAGAGTCCAATACGTCTCACAAATATCAAATACATTGGAAGTCCTGCGCATGGCGGACATGTCTTTTAGCATAAAAAGCATATCAAATGCCAAACATATAAATACTTGGAAAAACAAATTTCTAGAAAGTTTGGAAACTTGGTTAAAGTCCAAGTTTAGTCACAAATATTGGTATCAAGACATCATAGGCAGGAATATATCATAATACTATTAGGAGGACCTACTTCAATGGAAATTAGAAAAATAAAAAAAAAAACAGAAATCAAATATATTATTTCAATATTCTATGAAGTTTATTTTATCTAAGAATAGTAAATATATAAATTTAAATTATATAATTTATTTTTAGATCAGAATATATAGCCTCTCTTTAGCAATATATGTTTTATATTTGAATTTATAGATTTAAAGATTACTATTAAACAATTTTAAATTTTCTTAAATTTTATTTCTTGAGGTTCCCAAGCCACACCCATTTGATAAGTCAAATTTGCTTATTCTTTTCCTCACTTTAAGCTAAGATTATTTCTTCCAACTTTTTAGGTAAGTTATCTTCCCAATAGATCCTCCTTTATTAAGAAAGTTGCTTACTCATCGTGCCAAAGAGTCTAAATAAGAAGGATAAACCATGAACAAAAGTCCTATCCGACACTTCCTGTTTCAAACCCCACATCGACGACACACAGAGACCACGGGATGGCCTTGTGTACTTCCATGTCACCACATGTCAAAGTTTCAACACAAGTTGACACGCATCACCAGCGGGACATGTCAGTGTAACAATATATCTAGGTCATTTACTGGAAAGCATACAAAGATAATTCACCAAGGATAGATCAAATAGAGTTCGAGTGTAACTAGTCGCTGATTCCAGGTATGGCTTCGGGACAAATGACTCTTGCTCCATTTGATGTGACCCAGTTCATCTCTTCTTTTCTTTCTTTTTTTTGCCTGAAGTACAACTTAGATGGGATTCAAACCTTGGACATTGTTCTCCAATCCCTTAATGCCCCAACAACATAGCAAAGAGCCTGAAAGCCCCAAAACCAAAACCAAACAAGGAATTCAACAAGCTAGGTACTACATTTGAGATGGCATGGCCGATGTGTTACCCAGAGTATCACCTAGGCATGGGTAGCAAGAAAAACACATGCAAAACAAAGTATAGTCATCAGTGCGGCAGGTACATGGAACCGTGGATAGGAATGAGACAAGGTGCCTTGTGCGTGTATATGAAATTATATTTATGAATACATACATATATGTATGAGTATGTATGTGCATGTGATACATCTCATTGCATATTCATGTATACATTTTATGTGTTTTCCTCCCTTATCTTTGGAATTATGTGCAGTTATTTGTCACCTATAATTGATATTCTTCAGGAATGCTGCCTTATTTGCCATAATTCCAGAAATCTTTGCCACATACAACCCATCTGTGTTCCAAACCCTCTGAAACGAACATGGACTCAGGCCAGCCACTCACACCCAGACGGGTGCCAGATACGAGAAAAAAACCATGGTGACTAGCTGATGCCCACCGGTTCCCAGCATTAGGTTTTAAATTTTTTAAGACTCAGCCAAGTCTGAATCGGCTCAGCCAAGTTGACCCTCCTAACTCCAGTGTGGGACACTAGTGAGTCCCAAACTGACTCCAGCATTTAAGACACTGGAATTCATACAACAAGCAAATCTATCTTTGGTCGTCACCCGGCAGGTAAATGACTTGATCAGAAAGGTAGTTTATGAAAAAGAAGACCATTAAACAATACCAGCCATTAGACTTTCACCAATCCACGTCATAAGTTGAAATCTATTGCATACGATTAGAAAGGAAATAATGCAGAACACAAAATCAAAAGGAACATAACTTATACATTTCATACTTACATTTGCAGGGTTCATTGCCGGGCCTGTGTAGCTAGACCCTGCCAAAACTAATGTGACAGTGCTCATAGCAAGCAGCCACATCTTTATCAATGAATTTCTTGGTCCTTTTACAATTATAAAAAGAATTGCAAAACTGATCAGGAAGGTTAAGAATCCCTCAGCAATAGCTCCCTTATGCAGCTCAACTTTCAATGATGGACCACCCAACTTATTCTTGTAAGATGCAGGCATAACCTCCATGATTGCCAAGGCTCCACCCACTGCTCCAGCAGCCTGTTCATGGATTACAAGCTCAGAACCATACAAAGGTACTACTAGAGAGAATGATCAAAATATAAAGAATGTGAATCAAAACACAGAAAAATACTAGGGAAATCCAGGCATGATTAATGTTAATTTTCTCCTGTCATGCTTGAAGCGTAGATTTATGCCACTTAAGCATATCCATGCATAAGCATTGCTAGTCATCCATGCTCAATTATTTGGGAGATGACTTCAGGATTTTCTTCAATGATTAATACTTTAGGAAACTAAGAAAAATATAAATTAATGAAGGTTTAAGAAATAATCATTCATCCACAAATGAACACAGTCATTTAGTTATAGATGGTTAACAACAAAAATAAAAATAAATTAACAATAGTTAGAAACTACTTTCTTTTTTAGCAATATACAGAAACTTCTGTTTTTTCTTTGATGTTAGCTTGGGACCTTGTGAGAATTGAATTCTATATGTTATGCTCCGCGACCACCACTTCGTAGAGCCAGTTCTCTATGTAAAAACCATTAGAACATGAAAGATATCAATTAACTAATTGGCCAACTTGGGATCAAAATTCGCCATCAAGATAATTCTACTCCTCCCCTATTCTAGTGATGGATCTAAAAGAGGCAAAACCCTCTCCACTTCTGCGGAACAGCAGAATTTTCTCTACTTTCAGCAAATTTTGAGTGATCTTTTTTGGGGTAAACGTTTTAGAGTGATCGGTTAAACTTATCTATCATACTTCAATAAAATTAATTTTTTGACAGTTAATGACAGTAAATTTAAGCTTTTATTATGAAAGTTTAAAGGAGTGATCTTATATGGACGTTTGTTGTTAATCCTATCTCAAAATTTTCTATCATAAAGATTCTGAACTTGAGCATATTTGTGCCTCAGCTTCTACTATCCTCAGCCAAGAGCAAGAATAGTTTTTAAAGGTGCAGTTTGTATAGAGCCTAGGCTCTAAACAATCAAATTAGACCCTACCTTCAAATAGTGTTGAGAAATGTGGTTTCAATACTGGAAATCTTTATGATAGCCTTAAAATATATTTTCATCTTTATTTATAAAGTTTAAAGTTTCAAAAATAGTGTAGATCGAGTAGATCTATGAAAACTATAAAATCTTGAAAATTGATGGTCCAAAACTGCATTACAAAATACACTATTTCCAAAACTTGAAATCCATTTTTTTGCTCATGTCCATGCATCTTGATGTCAAGATGATCAATTTGAGGATATTTGGGTATCAAAACAACCTTTTCTAGTCAAATTTTTTAGGTAGGCTCTAATTTGATTGTTTAGAGCCTTGGCTCTATATAAACTTTTCCCCAGTTTTAATACCCTTTCTTATTGAAAATATTGATCTATGGCATCATCAAAAGGTATTTCATGGGATCTCCCTTTGTGGATAATATTCTCTTTTGTAATATAGAATAGTAGAAAACCATTTGAGTTCAACTATGTTTTACAAGGTTCAAGACATTTTAAATATAATACTTAATTTTGGGATGTTAAACAGTTACACACTTGGACTTAATTTTTTAGGGGAGTATCGCATTGTGGTCATTTTTCTAACCTTGTAGACTGTGGCTAAATTGGCCAGTGAAAATATTCAGAAGAGGTATTCCACATTTCCAGGTTATTAGATTTTTGGTTCAATCAAACTGCACCTCTTCAATTGAAGCAAGCTATGTTCAACCAAGAAGGACAAGAATTTCATGAATAATTACTTGGTGATGCTTGCCACCACCAAGTGTTTTAGAAAATGGATCCCACCTCCCATCCACCAAATCCAATCCAGATCGGTCGGATCAGTGATTCGGATCTACAAGATTGGCAATCCATATTGAGCAAATCGGCGATACGGCAAAAAAAAAAAGTCTTTAAAAATAGGAATAAGTTTTAACTATTTTAAGTTTAAGACTTAAACAATTTAAATCAGATTCAAGCACATTTAAATCTGATTTGGTATCATTTAAATATGATTTTAAACATCTGGTTTAAATGATTTCAAATAATATATATATATATATATATATAGGGAAAATGCTAGGGTCAGCCCACCCGCAGATGGAATAGTATAAGTCCAACAGTCCAAATTGAATATGGGTCGATCTAACGATCAGGATTGTATTTCGGTAAGATAATTTTAATATTTTTTATATAAATCCAAATACCATGAAATTTGGAGCATCAACTCGTATCATCAAGGCACACCTAATAAAAATATTTTAAAAAATAATTCTCATAAATAAATTGACCAAAATACCCATGAAACTTGAAATTTGGAGTTTCTATTACAAATCCAAATCACTTGAAATTTGGAGTGTCTATTCTTCAAAAATAGCGGAATCTAATAAAAATATCAAAAAAATAATTCTCATATAATAAATTGACCAAAATACCCCTGAAAAGTTTCAGGGGTATTTTGGT